CCTTCTGATAATAGCAGGTGTAACCTGACAGGTATGAGGTGGTAGCCATCGTGGTTTTGGTTTTCACTTTCCTGACTGATACTGAGCAATTTTTCATATACCTGTTGGCCATTTTTGTCTTCTTTGGAAAAATTTCCATTCAGGCCTTTTACCAATTTTTTAATTGGGTTATTTTGTTTTCTTCTGTGAGTTCCTTATGTATTTTGGATACTGACCCCTTGTTAGGTATATAGTTGGCAAATATTTCCTCCCAATTCATAGCCTGCCTTTTCCTTTGTCATGCGGAAGCTTTTTAGTTTGATTCAGTCCTACTTGTTTAGTTTTGTTTTTGCTGCCCGGGCTTTTGGTGCGATATTCAATCTGTGTGAACTTGCTTATCAGAAAGAAGGATGATCCCCAGCTAGAAGAGAGGAAATATCCAGCAACAATAGAGATAAGAGGTTGGTGAATTTGTGTTTCTAAGTATCATAACCTCAATTACCATCTACAGTTTGGACCTTTATCCTTCTTAGAAGCATTTTTGGGGGGGATGGGCCTCCTTGAAATATTCATCTAACTTTACAAACAAGTACTTGAATGACTTGTTTAAGATCTCAAATTTAAATACACCCACTTGATTGGCGCCCATAGCTCAAGTAGTTAGGGTGCTGGCTATATATACCAGGGCTGGTGGGTTTAAACCCAGCCAGGGCCTGCTAAATAACAACCACAACTACAAGGAAAAAAACAACTGTATGTTGTGGCAGGCACCAGGAGTCCCAGCTACTTGGGAGGCTGAGACAAGAGAATCTCTTAAGCCCAAGAGATGGAGGTTGCTGTGAGCTGGGATGCCACAGCACTCTACTGAGGGTGACATATGCACCTATAGGTTATAAAGCCACATTAAATCTAGAAGGAATATCTAGCAAAATAAAACATCCAGGTCTAAAGGTCTAAAGATCTGGATCTGAAGGAATACCTTTAGCTGCTAATTTGGCAAACAGACTAGCTAATTTTGTGTCTGTTCTTAGAAAACCATTTTACCTATGAATTTAACTTTAATTTGAGAAGGATTAAGGGTGATTCAATTCAGATTTTAAACATTTGTTTAATATCTTTAAAATATCTTCTTCCTGCACTCTATTAGATTTGAAAAGACTGATGAAATGAACAATTGCTAAAGGATTGCTGGCTCACAGCCAGGAAAAGGCCTGTGTTTTCTGAGGTTGCTTAGAAACAGGAAGCTGCCGAGGCCTCCCGGGCATCTCAGACCTCTCTTCCTGAAGTCTGATGGGGGTTCCGCGGCCCTGCACGACTGGCGCACACTTCCCCTAAGCCTTTACTCCAATGTCATCTTGTGAGAGAGGCCTTCTCAAGCCCATCTATGGAAAATCACCCTTCCCACCTTCAGCACCTCCTCTTCCTCTTTGCTGCTTCATTTTTTTCTCTTTAATTCTTATAATTGGAGATATTATGTATTTTGCTTCTTTGAATTATCTGTCTTCCTCTCCAGAATATAAGCTCCATGTAGGAGGGATTTGGGTTTTTTTTGGTTCATTGCTATCTCCCCAGCATCACCACATG